ACCAAGTATTTTTATATTTTATTCTATCAAGTGGAGCATCCCATTCATGATCTTTAGAACATTTCCATCTTAATGGTATAGAAATATTAATATATGTATCTGAAAGACAAAAACCATTATAAGCTCTGGCAATATTACAAGTATTATTTAAGATTATTTTTAATCACATTGAGAATTAGCAAAGTTATATATATATAAATTTCTATTCAAATTCTACACAAGAAATGAATTACATTTTAAGAATAAATAAAAACCAAATCAAATAAGTCTAAATCCTTAAATTTGATATAAATCACAAACTCTAAAAACACTATAAATTACTTAATTATTAAATATGGTCTATACTGATAAATGCCTAGTTTTAAGTAATACTGAATGGAGAGATTATTGTCAATTTTCAGTAATTCATAAGAATGAAATTCCATCTAATTGGAAAAAACGGATTTGTGATCAGTTGATAAATTACAAAAATAGTAGTCGCTTGACTAGTAGGATGAAGTGATACATCATTGTTAGAAAAATGGAATACTTATGGAAAGGTGATCTTGGTCATTCTGTAGATACAAGTATAGCGATCTGTTATTTTTGTAATAAGCTTGTTTATTCTAAAATAGGATGTGGATATGAATATGAATTTCATCATTTTATGAATGAGCATTGGAATACAAATTGCACAGGGAATGCTTATTGCAATATTAGTTATAAAAACTATATGAAACTTAAAAGTAGATCCAAAGCTAATCTTAGTAATTCCTACTTTGAAAAAGAAGTGATTATTCGTTATGAATTGTAGATGCAAAATGTTATTAGAAAAGTTAAACATACAAAAGAGATTGCAAAAAATATTCGAGCTACAAAGATCATACAACAGAAATAGTTAGAGTATTTCTACAGACCAGAAAGCATGTGTGCTTCAGAGCTTGCTCAACATTATCAATTATTATAGACAGTTCGAGAAGAAATGTGTCAAATTAATAATGTATAATTCATATATCTATTTATTCGATTTATTAATATATAACTTATTTATATATATATATCTATTTTAAAATAAAATCATCTTAGATATTCCTGAAGACTAGTACTTTAGACTTTTATTTATTACTATTTCGTGATAATTAATAGTTATTTTTTCTCGATATATGTAGAACCTTACCCATTGCCTTACAATAATTGATTAAATTTGTATTAGATCAAATTATAGTTTAACAATAAATAAAATATATAAATATAATTAACTTATCTTTTTTAACGAAGTTAATACAATTAAAAAGTATTAACTAATTCATCATGCAAATTCATAGAATCATTTTCTCGATATGTGCATAAGGTTTTAAGTTCAGTAGGTGCAGTACTATAAACTTCAAATGTATTAAATCCAAAGACAGTTTCTTCTAAATTCTCCAAAACCATTGTATCATTGATATAACTTTACTATTCAGAAAGAGGTGATCCAAATATAGGTGAATTTTTATAAATGTATTGTTAAAAAGTGTCTAGGTTTGATCTTTCTGTTGAAATCTGTAGAGGAGCAAAACTATAAATGTAAATATTATATTGATCAGCTCTAGCAGATTTATGTAATACCTGATTTAAATATCTTATAAATTCTTATTTGTAAGAGGGTGTTGAATTTTTTTGTGAAGAGGTGAATCTTTCCGAGGTAGTAAGATATCTGATGAAATTAAAGAAACCCAGTTCTAATATGTATTGCATATCCTCTTCAGTTCAAGGTAATCGAATTATCCTAGCAATATTTGCTAAATATATGTTAAAGAATGCATTACTAATTAGACTACCCTGTACCACTTTTTCTAAATAAATAGTCCTTTAGTTGGGTGTATACATACTTCCAAAATTAAAAATTCAAAATCTGATCCTAATTAATTTAAAATGACCTCAAAATTGAATTCTGAAATTCAAAATTAATCCTAAAATTATTATAAAAGACGAAAATATTTACAGGGGTCAAAATTATTATGGGAGATGAAATTTAGTGTAATTTCAGTTGAAATTAGTATTTTGACAGGAGATGAAATAGTTATGAAATCTCAAAATTATAGATCTATTAGGAATTGTGCAGGTGATCACAAAATAGTGTAGACTTTTTTTTTCTTTATTATTATTTTTTTAATAAAATAATTCACTTATTTTTCTATCTCTTAATTTATCCTTTTACCTCTTCTTAACTTACCTTTCTACCTCTTCTTAACTTATCTTTTTCCAGAATTATACTCTTGAGTTCGCAAAATAGTGTAGGTAGATTTTTTATTTTTTTTTTTTATTATTTTTTTAATAAATATATTTACTTATCTTTTCTACCTCTTCTTAATTTACCTTTTTTCTGAATTGTGCTCTTGAGCTCGTGGAATGGTGCAAGTGATCATGAAATAGGCATGAGTAAACTTTTTCTTTCTTTATTATTATTATTTTTTTTAATAAAATAAATTCACTTACTTTTCTATTTCTTAACTTACCTTTCTATCTCTTCTTAACTTATCTTTCTACCTCTTCTTAACTTATCTTTTCTCTGAATTGTACTCTTGAGCTCACAAAATAGTGCAGGCGATCGTAAAATAATGTGAGTAAGTTTTTTCTTTTATTATTATTATTATTTTTTTTTAATAAAATAAATTCACTTACCTTTTTACCTTTTAACTTATCTTTTTATCTCTTCATAACTTATCTTTCTATCTCTTCTTAACTTACCTTTGAGCTTGCAAAATAGTGTAGACGATCACAAAATGATATAAGTAAATTTTTTTTTCTTTATTATTATTATTTTTTTTTAATAAAATAAATTCACTTACTTTTCTACCTTTTAACTTACCTTTCTATCTCTTCTTAACTTATCTTTTT